CCGCAGTTCCGGATATCCTCCACAGTCGAGCGAAACACCAGAGCTAAGACCAGAGCCGCTCGGAGGCGCGCTGCATTGCCGTGCTGCGGACCCCGGGGCATTAGTTAGGTTAGCTTCGAAAGACCTTCGAAAGCCATGGCTGGAGACCTCGGGGCGAGGAGGCAGCTCTGCCTGGCCCTGGGCCTGATCGCGGCCTTGAGCGCGCCAGTGGGGGCGCACTCGCGAAGGGCCATGATGGCCGATGACAAAGGTGGGAGCTGCGCGCGGGGCGGTGGTGGCTTGCGGCATTCCGGCTGTACCACTCCGACGATCGCTGCATCGCCGCACGCCTGTTTGCCACGTTCGGTGATTTTCACTGCGCGACCGTTTTTCAGGGTGTCCCGCGGCGCATGCGCTGACAGGGATTGCCGGAATGGCGCCCTTGGCTGCAGCCAATGTTGGGCCCTGGCTTGAGCGATCAGTTCGGTGCGCCAGCGCGTGGAGGGAGGAGGGACACCGCGATTGAGAGTTGCGAAACATGGTCGGTCGGCTGATGTCGTTTGGGAGCGGAGATCGGAAACCTGAAATCAGTTGGTGGATCCAATGTGCTTGGCGTGTGGGAAAAGTCGGACGGGGCGCTCAAATTCATTGATTACATTTGTCAAAGAGGCTTGAGAGAACGCAGCCCTGGCACCCAAGAGGCGGTTTGGGCTTGATTCCAAACGAATGTTTTATTTGTGTCTCAATGTGCCTCAATGGACGGTTCGCGCTGCTGAAACATTTGAGCCTTGTGTACGCAAGGCTTCCACATGTGGGAGTCCGGGCTGGTGCCCCGAATCCACTGCTTCACTGTCGAGAGTTGAAAGGAAGGCTAGCAATCACGACTGGCGGCCATCCGTTGCCAAAGATTCAACCCCGCTAACCGACCCTGATTGGGGTCGTACCCAACTAGGGTACCCTAGCGGGGCACCCTACTGGTACACTGGACAGCAGGGTAGTACTCAAAATCCCACATACGGGCATCTAATGCATGCCTGAGACACTCTTTCAGGAAAGCTGGTACAAGCAAGCACTTCAATCACCGACCCTGATACTTCCTTTTAAAGAGAGCTGCCATGTGTTGCCATGCCATGTGTCGTTGCACAAGTGATACTTGAACAGCTGCTTTCGCAATGCAGGCAACAGACCGCCAGCCGACTTGCCGGAGGTGTCGGTGTGGGGCCAGTCCGAGGACGCCGCCGCTCGCGATGCCGAGCTGCTCAAGTTCCTGGCGGCGCACTCGGCGGACGGTGTCGGCAGGAAGACGAGCCTCCGGCGGTCGTCGTCCATGTTTCATCAACCCACGCCGTCCCTCGACCCTCAGCTGCTGAAGACGGCCGTGGATGTACTGGCGGGCCTGTACGAGGGCAAGGGCCAGGTGGTCGTGGTGGAAGAGGAGGATGACATAATCCTCATTGGCGAGGACGAAGACATCCTGGAGCTGGTGGAAGAGGAGCTGGTGCAGGGCGGCGTCGCGGATCCCGAGGTGGATGACGAAATCGTCGTCGTCGTCGAGGCGGATGCTGATGTCAAGTCGGAGCTGTCGGGGGGCACGGCGGCGGGGGCGGTGGGGGGCGAGGAGGCGGCAAGGGAGATGGAGGTCGCGGAGTACAGGCGCAAGATCCGCAAGCTGACGCTGCTGAACAGGGTGGCGGTCCTGCTGGTGGTCGCGCTGTGCGGAGTTGCTTTGGTGGGTGACTTAAAAAAACTCTGAATTGCGGATGTTGTGTTGTGTCTTCACGTCTATTGAGTAACTCAGTAGGGATGCGTCCATCAGGTGCATCCGCATGCCGATGAAATCATCTCAAATTGAGCTGATTTCACCGGCATGTGTATCGATCTGATGGATGTGTTCCTTCTTGGTGACAACAGCCATATCGGTTGAAAGCGTGACTGATCTCAATGCCATGGGTGCCAGTTGCTAGGGATGGTGTCGATGCAGGAACGGGTGACGATGCACTGCTGAGCACACATGTGTACAAATGGTGCGTAATGTCGCTGAACAGGACAGAGCGATTCCTGAACAGCTGAAGAGAGCGACTTCAGCGCGCCACAGGAGAAATGCAACCACCAAAACATGGTTGGACATCACGCGGTACAAATGGCATTTGAAAGTGGCTTGCGCTGGTACACAGATTCTAGTATCTGAAACGAATCGAGCACTGAATTAAATTGCGGTTGGTGGTGAGATTTTCCATTGCACAAGGTGTTCCTTCCCATTCGTCGTCGCAGCTGCTAATGTCCGGTCCATGCATGGCCAACACGCACTTTTCCACGCTGTAGTTTGCTGCAATTTTCGTACCGTTTCTATGGTGACTGTACAGGCCATGCAAGGAGCTGGCACAAGACAACGGGTCGTAGGCTGAATAACGAAAAAACAAAAAGCCCTTGCTGTCGCCACTGTGGCGATGCCACAGCGCCCGCTCAGAGCTTGCTTGTTGTGAGGAGCTCTTCGAACTCCCTTGCAGGCTTTGATTGACTGCCATCAAGAACAATGACATTTCATGGCGAAGAGGGCTGCTTTTGCCTGATGGATCCATCAAAAAGTTCATGAGTTGAGAAGTTCGCCCTGTTTTCGCCACAGAATAGCAATCTCCACTACTTGTTTCAACGAGAGCCCAAGCCGTTGCCTGCGACCCATGCTTTGGTTCCCCATCACTGCAAATCACGGAGTTTCAGAGGATGATGCATTGACGACACCAACCAAGCATTGCCAAATTTCCCAGCGTTTGGGTCACCAAGGACGGTGGATCTTTACACCCGGTAGATTGGGAGTTGATCGCCACCCACTTGCCCCGATGTGCTCACGCTTTACAACACTGTGTTGCCATGTTTCCTTATGTGGCCCACTGAGCCGCCGTGGGTGCTCGCAGATCGTGGCCGCCGCCAACTGCCAAAAGACGCAAAGGATTGAAGGGTACCACTTCATGAGGGCGAGCGCTCTGGGCTCGCCCCGACTGGGCTCGCCTCGGCTGGGCGGCAGACGGGCGCCTTTCAAGTCGAGATTTCAGCGCACCAGGGAGTTGCTGGGAGGCAGCGTCGCCCGCCGAGCCGCCAGGCCGAGAGGACGCCATCACCCACTGGATGCAGATGCGTTGCTGACCGGCACCGCTTCTGAATGACCAATTCAGCAATGTGTTTGGAAAGAGAAGCACACCACTTGGAGATGTTTTCGGTGCAAACAGTACGACAAAGTACTGTAAAAACTGAGCTGCCCGTGCACCACAAACGGGGCGGTGCCCACAGTCGCTGGCGTTTTGAAAGGCCTTGAATGGCGTGTGTGGGAAACAGGCCTTGGGCGCGAGAGTTTGAAAGCCCCGGTGGTGCTCACCCCAAATTGCGCTCGACTCGCCGGGAGTGGCAGCGTACAGAGATGACAGGATTGCCAGTCGATGGTGGTCGGCAATGTGCTCGACATTTGTGCGCGCCAGGATAAGGTTCTTGATGTCTTGATAGCCTGCCGCTGTTGCCTGGAGACATCGTTGGGCATGCGAGCCACCAGCAAGCCTGCCGGAGCCAGGACCACCAGGATTGCTGTCGACTGCCAAGTTCCCTGGGATGTGGGAAACGGGATCGGGTTGGCGTGTAATTTTGCGGCTGCTTGGCTGCCGCCTGCCCTTGCGGCCGCGCACGTCACATGATGAGTATCTTGGGCATCGAGTCACGAGGGAAGCAGCCCCAACAATCCGTGCCCCCCCCAGAGCGAATGCGAGTCGTTGAGGGCGAGGTGGCCATCAAGCGCACCCTTTGCCTGTTGGCAACCCGCTCTGGATCTTGAAATACAAAAACATGGTTGCCCGCCCTCCAATTGCTCTCGTATCGCGGGCCCAGTGGGCCTGACATGCCGGTTGGCCGAATGTAACCACCGCTTGGCAGGGCCTAGTCTGGCAAACAACTCCACAAGTTGTTTCATCTTCGTACTGACCTCAGCATGCAGATGCGAACGAAACGAGGAAACATGGAATTACAAACGATCTGCGAAGTACAGAATCCAACATGAATACGTCTGCGCGTCCCGGAGTGTCAGCTCTCCTCACTAATCCCACCCAGGCCCCAGCTGCCCCCCTCACCTGGCCCCCCTTAATCACCACCTTATTCCTCAGGACGTTCCGTGTTCCCCTTCCAGCGCGTTCATAGACCAGCCTGAGGCACCATCCCGCGGGCTGAGGGAAGCCCGCCCAAAGCATTCTCATTTTGAATCAATAGATCTTCCTCGCTCTACTTCGCAGATCATTCCATAAGCCATTCCCAACACAACTACACAAACTTCAGAATCAATAATGCTCCCGCGCATTCGCTGCTCCTCGTTCAGAGCGTCCTGGGCGCCCAGGCGACTCGAATGTCGCCGTAGCTCTGCCCCCACCCTCCCCCTCCCGCATATCGTACACGAATGGCGCGGATGCCTTGGCCTCGACATCCAAAGTCATACAAAAACCCCGCAAGCCGCCAGCCGGCCTGAGGGTGGGAGAGAGATCTGTACATGCCCCCATCTGGGCTCGTGGAGGCAGAGCCAGTGTTGAATGGCCCGTTCGTCAACTGCTATTGGGCAAATACCCTCCCCCTCCAAGCGAGGGGACAATTCGGTGCAGGCTACAATTCCACCAGTCATTTACCGTATACAGGCATATAAAATAAAAATGAGACTTTTCTTCCCATAATTCTAGCTCGCCCGTCCGCCCTAATCGACACACCCCCGCCACTCCGGTGGCGGGATGGCCTCGTGGCGAGCCCTCGCAAGAGTGTTCCGGCGCTCCTCTCCGGCTCCTCGACCTTCCACGTCCCCGAGGCGCCGCCCAGGACGGGTGGCAAGCCCTTGCCCCCCCCGCGCAAGCAATCAAAAGCCTTCGGGCCCCGGCCGATCAACTCCCCCGGCACGGCCCCGAAAAGATGATTCCGACTCCCGGGGCGGTCATACGAGAGTCGTGTGCTGTGTGTGCGTTCCGCCATGTGCGTTCCGCCGCGTGCGTTTCGAAAAAGCGCGTTCACACGCTCAGTCGTCCGTTCATGAGCCAGTCGCTGTCCTTGCGGGCGTGCGAGATCTTCTTGTTGTTCTTGGATATGAACGAGTCCTTGCGGACAAAGGCGTCCTTGGGGTGGGAGCCGTCCGAGGCCTCGTGCCCCGAGATGGACGAGTCGTCCGGCACCACCGTCAGGTCGCTGCAGTCCTCGGAGTCATCCATGTCTTCCTGGTCAGACGACATCGGCGACTCCAGGTAGCATCCGTTGGAGTAGACGCGGCGCCAGTGGGGCGCGCGTGCCGCGCCGTGGCCCCTGGCGCCGCCATCTCTGGCCCGGGGGCTCTTGGCCTTCAGCGGCGGCTTGAGTGCCCCCTTCCTGGGCGTCTTGCGGGGCGTCTTTCGCGGCGTCTTGCGCGCCGCCGTCTTCACAGCCACCTCGCTAGCCAAGTCCTTGCCCTTCCCGTAATACTCCGCGACTTCCTCCTTGTTGTAATACCAATTGTTGGCCCCCTCGACGGGCTCCTTGTAATACCCCACTCCAATCACACCTCCAGACCCAGATGACGACGATGACACCAGCCGGCGCTCCTCCTGCTCGCCGCCGCTCGAGCTCACCGGCAGTCCTGGGCTGTCGAGCCCGTCCCTGCCCATCGACGCGCGCGACACCGCCCTGCGCCCGCTGGGCAGCTGTGCGGGCATCAGCAGCGAGGAATCCGCGTTCTGGATCAGCTTGTTCAGCCGCTCCTGAAGAGGGTTGTACGCCGCGCGCCTCGCCGTCGCGGACGCCGGCCGCACGTGCCTACTGTCCCCGATCATCGGGCTCGCCCTGGCCGGCTCCTCCGCCCTGCGCCCAGGCGTGGCGGCGCCCCTCGCGCTCTGCGCCCCGCCGATCGGCGCACGGGTCTTGGCCGGCGCACTCGCCGCCGGCTGCTTGCGCACCAGCCGCCCAGAGTCCTCCGACATACGCCTCCTCTCCGGCACCGTCTCCGGCACGTGCCTACCCGCGTCCCTGCTGGCCGACCGGCTGCGGCCGGTGCTGGAGCCGTTGCGCACGGGCGGCGCCGGCCCGGACGACGACCTGGTCGAGCCCCGCGACGTCGGCCGGAGGCTCGTGCCCGTGTTCCTGGACGGCTGCGGGGCATCCCTTCGCAGGGCATAGGTCTTGCCGGCCGCAGGCACGCTGGTGCTCCGGCGGACGTTGTGCTCTGTGCGTGGGTGGTCCGCGCTCAGCGCGGATCGCCCGGCCTTCGTCAGCCGCGAGCCCACGCTGCCGGCCCTGCTGGGCGCATCGCGTGTGCGAATCGCGTCCGCGCTGCGTGCCGATCGGCATCCCACGCTGCTGGCACGGCTGGGCGCCCGGCCGCGCCCGTCCACGCTGCCGCAGACGGATCGGGCGGTCTGGGCCCGCGCCAGGCCGCCCTGGCGAGATGCAGCGCTCTTCGAGGGAGGCTCAGGCCTGCGTTCGGATGCGAGCGCCTGGCCAGCGGCGTGGCGCTCGAGGTTGGCCACCAGCCTGTCCAGCACCTCCACTCTGTAGTTCTTGTTGTTGGGACGTGGATTGGTAGGACGGGCCAAGTGGAGTGGTGGTTGAGATGAAAAATTGGTCTTCGATGCCCACCCTCTTCTCCGCCATTAGGTTCACCTCGGCCACCATGCGCACCAGCTTGGCAAGGTTGTCCGCGATCTGGCCGCAGCTGGGCGGCGCCTTGTCCTCCTCCTCGGGCAGCAGGGGCGACAGGTCGGGCATCGCCAGACGGGTCTCCGCGCACAGCGCCTCAAGCTCGTTCTTCTTGGCATTGATCAGGCCCAGCAGGAGCTTCGCCTGCTCGTGCTCGAGCCGGTTCACCTCCTTCATGCACCTCTCCAGCGACTTGAGGTGCAGGCGCGACGGGCCCTCCATCAACCGCGTGAAGATCCCACGGTCCACGTCGTTCTGGGGCACGTCCAGGGCGGTCCACAGGTTCCTCAGGATGTCCGTCATCTCCAGGGCCTGCTGCTGCCTCACCATCTTCACGTTCTTCATCTCGGTTATCTTCATCTCCAGGGAGGACATTGTGGCGTCGCTCACGCTCAGGTCGACTCCATCAGGCATCTGGTCGTCCGGGTCTAGCGGCGAGCAGTAGGACGGGCGGAACGCGGACAGGTTGGGCAGCAGCTGGGGGTAGTACCGCAGGCTGGCGTCCACGCCAGCGGCGATCTCCACGTCGTCTTCACCTAGCTCGAAGCAGATCTTGCGCAGCCTGCTGAGGTGGCCCTCAAGCTCACGCTCGCGGCGCTGCAGCTCGATCCTGCTCTGCGACAGCTCGTACTCAAGCCATTCCAGGTGCTTTCTGGAGATGTCCTGCAGCTGCGCAGCACAGCGGAAGACGTGTGATCAGCGCAACGCGTTTCCGCTGCTGGGGCAGGCAACCCCCCGACTGCCCGCAGAGTTGCTTTCAAAGCCCACGCCAACTTTCCAGGCTGTTTGGACTGAGGGATTCCCATGGGTGCTTCTACAAATCAGACCATTCATTCACACACAACACTGGCCTTCACCAACACACAACAATGGCAATGGCCCATTTCAGCAAGCAGCTCCACAACGACTGGTCGTCGACACGGCGGCAACACAGGTCGTGGGCACGCTCCCAGCTTGTTCGCGTACTGGAACAAGGGCACTGTCGATGCTGCGTGGGTGGACGCCTTTGACACACAAACGTGTGACTGACGACGCAGCTGCTCACTCTTTTTGGACGCGCATTTTGGCCCAAAAACAAAATGAAAACGTGGAGCAATACGCGCATTTTCCCATACAAACACCAACGTTCATTCATAGCCCCATCTACATCTCCAGAGCATGCTCCTCTGGCCACGGGCCACGCTCCCCACGGCCAGCGCACCAGCGGCTTGTTCAGCAACGACAGAAGACAGGGGACGCCGGTCCCGCACAAAAATCCAAGCATATAATAAGAGAGCAGAATTCGCACGAAAAGCTGCCCGTGTGTGCGCGCAATAAACTCGCCCATTCAGAGTCGCCGTGGAGAGATTCCGCAGCGGCAAAAACACGCCCCGCCGCCCCCCCAACAAAGGGCAATAATATTCCCCATCAAGAATTGATGAGGCAATGTCGCGTCACCCCCCACACACCCGCAGCTGACGCATTGGGCGCTGGCGCAACAGGTGGTGGAGAATTCCCGGCCCAGCCAGCAGGCGGCGCCCGTCCTGGCCGTGCCGCACAGCGTGGGCGACGAACGCCAGGACAGGCGTTTCGATGTCTTCCATCCGCTGCGCGCCCACGGCCCCGCCCCTTGCCACTCCCCCGGCGCCCAACGACCGGCGGACGGCCCACGGAACCCCCCGGCCAAGAAGCATTCCGCCGCCGCCGCCGCGGCCGAGCCCTTCCACACTTCTCCGCGACGGGGATGGGCGGCCATGCACCACACAGGCCGGCCCCCACTTCCGGAGCCACGCGGCAAGCCAACGACAGGAGGAACGACAGCGGCAGCATCCGCAGAATGCGTTCCGCGAGCCCCCCGCGGCAACCGCTCCACACAGACCGGGGAGGAATACCCCTCGCCAGCTCACGGGCCCATTCGCACCCGGTCGCACCCACGGACAGCACCGGCCGGCGGCCGGCCCAACGCCGATCCGGGCCCTGCCCCCAGCGCTTCACCCGATCCCACCCCCGAAAACATCCGCGTCGCGACGGCAGGATCGCGCCGGGGCCCCACCTGCTGCCCCTCCGCCGGCACGCTGGGCGGCATCGGCTGGCCCAACCGCGCCCGCACCGCCCGCATGCCCCGCAGCACGTCCTCGAACTCCGCCGTCCTTTCCGCGCGGCGCTCCCGCCAGGCCTCCAGCTCCACGAGTAGCGCCTCGTAGCGCTCCTTCAGCGGCGGGGAGCCCGGCCCGCCGACGCTGGGATCGTCCTCCTCGTCCGTGCCCTCCTCTGCCTTGGCGTCGCCGTCCCGCCGGCCGGCCTCATCCTCGTCAGCCAGCTCCAGGGTGATCCGCGAGATCTCGCTCATCGCCATCTCCACCTGCTCTGTCAGGATCGCCCGGCCCTCATCCGCGCGCTGCAGCGCGCTGTTCCAGACGCCCAGGATCGACGCAGTCACGTCGGCCAGCTCCTGGCCCTGGTCGCCGGCATCCAGGCCCATGTCGTTCCACACGCGCACCAGGCGGCATGCCACATCCCGGCACGTGCGCCCGTACTCGTCCAGGTGGCGCCTCAGCAGCTCGCCGCCGCCCTCCCACAGCTCAGCGGGCGCCACGGGGCCCGCGGTGTCCCCAGCCATGCCTCCAAATAGCGCGCACGCCGCGATCTCACGCAGAAAAAATCCGCCGCCACCGCCCAGGCCAGCGCCTGCTCGCTGCCCGCCGTCCAACAATCCTCGGCAGGCCTCGGGATCGCCTCTGCCGACCTGTCTCAGCCCGCCAAGGGCCACAGCAAGGCGCGCCCTGTGCCCAGTCAGCCTCACGGGCGATTCCCACACCGCTTCCCGCAGCGCCGCTCCTCGCACCCCGCCTCCGCGCTCAGGGCCTTAAAACCGCGCGGCGACGTCAGCCGATTGGCATCCCCTGCAACTAACGCAGCCCGCCATTTCCATGCCGCGCTCCCCGCGTTGGCCGGCTACACTGGATTCCTTATCCCGGCACCGCCACAAGGGACCCCTCTCAGCAGGCCACTGAATCCGAATCCTCCCTCCGCCCTCCGCCGTCGACCACCTCCCCCAGGAAAAAAATTGCGCCCGCGTTCGCGCGACGCCGCTCCGACACGCCCACGCTCCTGGCCCGGCACCCTCTCCCGTGGAAAGAAAGCCAGAGCAGTGTAGCGGAGGGTGGGGGGTGGGGGGCCATTAAGTGTGGGCACTGCGCGAGGCCGGCGGGGGCTTGACAGGCCGCCACGTCGGCGCCGAGGGGTAGTACCAGCGCGCCCTGACACGTTTGAGCACTACGGGCAGTGCTGACTCGCCTTTCGGGCCCCAGCCGGCGGCCCGCGGCACGGGGCCATGTACTGCAGGCGCCCCTGCTGCTGGCGGCGTCTTGTGGTGCCGGTGTTGTTGATGAGGTTGTTCCGGTGTGTGATTGCCATTTCAAGGCCCCGTTTTCCACGGTTTTCCTCACATGGATTTTGTCGGTGAGCTTGTTGTTGGGTGTGATTGTCTTTCTTTTGCGGCTCGTTGATCCGCCACGAGGGGGGACTTCCCCATTCGCTCACTTGTAGTCACGCCAGTGCGCCCGCGGACTGATGTGGATAAGGGAACCGGCGGGGCAGCCGAGCATTGGGCATTTAGAGCATCTTTATCGGTCGGGGCTATTGCACCGGCGGAGCTATACAGGAACGGTTTTTATTGGCTGCCGTGCCACCTTACTAAGGCGGCATTTGCCGAATAGCACCGGTGCTATTGCTCCCCTGCACGCATCCGCAATGGTGGGTGCTATGACTACGTCGAATAGCATCACTGCAGCACTACAATGTTCTGCGCGAATAGCACCGGTGCTATTCTGGGGTGCTATTCGGCCCCGAGCGGTGCTATTTGGGGCCAAAATAGCTCCGCTGGGCGCCGAATAGCTCCGGGGGAGCTATTGGGGAGTTATTGCTCCCCAACCGTTAATGATGGTTTTTTGACGTGCGGAGCTATTCGGATAGCCGAATAGCTCCGCCGGAACAATAGCACCGACCGATAAAGATGCTCTTAGGTGTGGGCATCGCTGGGAGAGGAGACAGCGGGTACCACAATCAGCTAGTTGGGAAGATGGGATTGTTGGCGGCTCGATCACACCGCTGGACGGCATTCCGCGTCCAATCCGGGCTTGCACCACGCGGCCGATGGCTTGAGAGTGTGATGACTTCTGATGGTAAATGAGGCGATCGGCTGCGGCCCCCGCAAAAGGCGCGGCCTTGATGCGGGGCTTCCAGTGTGAGCTGGCGGCGTGGCATCGTGGCGCGGCGGTTGTGTGGCGTCACACTTGCGGATGTGTGCCGTTGTGTTGGGTTGGATGCCAAGAGGAGATCGCAGGAGGCCGGTGGCTTCACAACAACCTTTCCTTTCTCATGTAAGATGGACTGGCAGATGATGCGATATTCCGTGCCGACGTCGCCTCCGGTTCCGGCCAGGAGGGATACTCTTCCCGCCCGGCTCACATGATGGGCAAGTCAGTCACACTTTCCAGCATGGGCATCTCACACCAGCCCTTTCCCATCACAATGCCTATGATCGTCAATCTCATCTACCCATTCCTTCCCAGCTTGAACGAACAGTAGAATATTCGAACATAGCCTTTTTATCCTCCACCCATTCCGAAACGCAAACTCAATATGCCAAGGCCGTGGAGTTCTTTCAAGTAGAGAGGCTGCTCACCGACCTTGTCACATCAGTGTCCTGCGCACAGAATGTGCCATCGCGAGCGTTTCTGTTAAATTTCTGCCCAACAGGCCACTGCTCCCGCCCCACGTGCGCATCGCCATGATTAAGTTTTTGAGGCCCATTGCGTCCCTCGCTGTCAACACATTTAATCTGAACAGCGCCCGTGATTGGCAGATCTTCACTTCGCCCACCGTTACGTGAGCCCTCCCAAGCAATATTTGGCAGATATTATCAAAAACTGGTGCCTCATTAATCATGAATCCACAAGATAGTGGGATTCAGGCCAGCAGCAAAACGGCTGAGCCTGTGGCAATGGAAATAGTAGAAGAAGGGTACTAGAGGTCTCACCTCCGGTGAAGATTCCTGCATACCTCTGGAGGTGTCCCTCGAACCGCGCTGTCTACAGAGTTATCCAAAGCCTCTCACCCGACAACAAGCCATTGCTCTCGCTGAAAGCGTTTCCGATTTCCAGACGAGCTTAAGTGGTAGCACACGTTGGCGCAACCCTGTGCAAACTCTCTGGCTAGCCAGTGAGGAAACAGTACCTTTTGCCCGCCGATGGAACGATGTACGTATGCCGCCTTTCAACCTACGCGAAGTGGGCATGCTTGGCCCTCCGTTTCTTGCATCCGCGCACTTCGAACGACTCCAGAGGCACACCATGGACGGATCCGAATGTCCGGAAGGGCTCCTGATGATACCAGCCAGTTGCACAATACGATCAACACTGCTTATGCCGTGTGTTCTTGTTTTTTTTGATGAAGCGTGAGCTCTTGCATCAAAAGGCAAGCTGATGATGGTGGGAATCGGCCCTTGACTAAGAGTGCATCGATTCACTTGCACGATTTCTTCCGGCTGGTAAATCAAACGATCTGACACATTTGCGCATTTGATCGCACGTGCCCTGATACGTAGTGAGCCAGAAAGCAGGCGCGTATCACTTGCAAAAAGTTTCTTCATTTCAGGTAGTCGCTGTTCGTTTACACGCAGATTTCTTCGCTGAATTCCTGTGTTGCTGTCACGAGTAAATGTTTACTGTGACTTGCAGTACAGTGTGTCCATCATAGATAAACTCCCGACATATGTGTCCTGTTGTGACATAAACTACATGCATGTGCTGCCAACATCAAGACGGTGACTGAGCTTTACAGAGTCGTGGCGATTGGCGCCTGCCATGCAGGCCTACCGCTCAAAACCCTGTGGAACTCAAGTCCCAAGGCGCAGCCGTCGCGTGTCCGAATTGGGGCCAATTTCCAGTTTCATTGCCGGACACTGTCTGAACTAAGGCTCGTTTCAGTGTTTGCTGCCGGACAAATTATCCGAACTGGGGTCCCTTCTCGCGTTTCGAGGCGGTCATTTGAAACCCAATTCGGACAACAAGCGGCAATTCGGACCCAAAACACAACCCCGTTGGACACAAAATTAATCCTGTCGGACAAAAGTTGGGAGCCTCTCACCACCGTCGGGTGCGCTCACGCCTCCGTGCTGTCCACGGCAACCCGGACAATCCCACTACGACGCGCCAGTACCTTGTCGCTGTCCCATTTCTGGCCCCGCGCCCCGCCACCCCTAAATGCACTCGCTTCGGACCAATTCCCAACCCTTTTGCCTCGCCCATTTTTTGGCGTGGGCACGTGCATGGCCGCAGCGCGCGTGTCCCCCCGTTCGGCGTGCGCGCCGGCGGCTGCGCGCCGCCGCTGAGCGGCCCATGGATGCCGCCAGCTCCGGCGGCTCCGACTACAAGAGCTGCGGCGGCAGCAGCGACGAATCGGCGCCGCTCGCCGCGACGAACGCCTATCCGAACGGCGGCGATCCGCAGCATGTCCAAAAGCGGTCTTTGGACGAAGAAGGATCGGGATGGGACGCCCATGCCGAGGGGTGGCGGGGCGCGGACGAAAGATTGGGAGAGCGATGCGGCGATGTGGAAGGTGCCAGAATCTGGCGGGGATCGGTAAGGGAGTCGGGGGCCCAGGGCGGGGACGGGCCCGGCGGCAAAAGATCGCCGCCCCCGGCGGCCAGGGGGCGGGGCGCAGACCCGCGCGTCGATGCACAGGCCGACGCGCGCGGCACGGATAGTGATCGCGGCGGACATCAGCCGCGAGGGGACGGAGCGGGGAGATCCGTCGCGTGTGCCCGCCAGGAGGACGGGAGGCGATTGTCTGAATGCGGTGGGCAGGACGGCCTGCTGAGCAGCTTCATGGACAAGTTCCATCAGGGACGGGGCACCGGGGAGGACGCCGGCGCCGACGGCCACCGAGGGGCGCCGAGGCGACCGTGCGACGTGGGTCAGTTCGCATCCCGCGGAGGGGATGCATCGCGGGCGCCAGGGGAGCAGGAGGCGGGCGGCGCGGGGTGGACTGAGCAGGAATCGGCAAAGGGGCCGCAGTGGGTGAGGGGCGTGGGCAGGGAGGGGGAGAGGAAGAGGACCGCGCGGGAGCTGGAATCCGGCCACACCGGTGCGGGAAGGATTCAGTTGGGGTCGACTCGCGGCGATGCCTGGCCTGGCGCGGACCCCGCGGCCGCCCAAGCGCAGCAGCTTGACGGCGCTCGAAATCCGACCGGCGAAGATGGCCGGGGTGTAACCAGCGGGCCGGGCGGGCGGTCGCCGGGGCCGCAACGCAGCCCGCCCGCGATCGGCGTGGGCCATTACTTCCGCGACAAGGACGGCCAGGTGTACGTCATGGCTGCGGGGCCCAACCGCAGCTACGTGCTGACGCCCGTGCAGATCGGCCGTGCGCATCAGCAGCAGCGGAGGCAACCCAGCGTGGGGACCAGCCCCGGGGACGCACCACCGGGTCCGGGCGCTCAGAACGCCGCTCTGGGCGCCAGGCTCCAGAGCATGGGGTCGCCGCGGCCGCCCGGCGTCCGCCTGCAGCCGCAGCAGATGGGCTACGGCGGGGGGGGGGCACCCGCGAGCGCAGCAGGTGCGGGCGGCATGGGGCGGCCTGGGCCGGGCGGGCAGGCCTCCCCACCGCTGATGGGGGTTCCGAGGCCGCAAGGGGTTGTGATGGCGCAGGGGGGAGGTGCTGGCCACCACCAGGGGGTGGGTAATTCTGGCCAGCGAGCACCCGCGGGGGCGATGGGCCCATTGTCAAGTCCCCAGGGGATGCTGCCGGCTGGCGCTCCAGGGCCCCGATCCGTGGGACAATTTGTGGTGCAGAATTCGGGTTATTGGCCGGGGCCAGGCGGGCAGCCCCGCATGGGGGCGGGTGGCACGCCTGACGGCCTGCAAGTCCCCTCGAAACAGTTAGGCGTCTCGCCAGTGGGTGCTGTGGGACTCCACCAGTCAGCTGTCCAGCTGGTTCCCACAGGGGCAGCCATTCAAGGCCAGTCCGCGCCTGGTAATGTTCAGGACGATGGCAAAGAGGAGCAAAGGCCGGAGAGGCCATGGGAGGTGACGATCCGGCAGTACCAGCTGGATCTGTATGAGGCCGCAAGGAGGAGGAACATAATAGCTTTCCTGGACACGGGGTCAGGGAAGACGATGATATCTGTGCTGCTGATGAAGCACGTGGGGGAGCAGGAGAGGATTAGGATGAATGAGCTGAAGGACAAGGGGAAGAAGGGCCAAAAGAAAGTGATCATCTTTCTAGCTCCAAAGAAAGTGCTGGTGGCTCAACAATCGCACGTTCTGCGGGTGCACACTGATTTGAAGGTGGGTGGATCTTTGGACGTTCACTGAACACACTGCTTTTGATGGGCTGAATGTGGAGCACATGTAGTGCTCGCCCAGAGTAAAATCTTTGTTCTGTCCTTGGACAGGCGGGGTGCAGACTTGCCTTCAATTGAGAGATGCACCCAACAGCCTATGCAACACTCCAGCTTTGCCACTGTGTGCCATCGTGCCCATTGAGTTGGGCCTTGGCTTCTAAAAAGAATGAGAACTGCCTGTTGGGATCTCCTTAGCATACAGGAGTGATTTTTTCTTTGTCAAATTTTCCTTCCCAGCGGCACATAGATTTTGGTGCAATTGTTATTGTGGCGATCACTGAGCTGTACATAGATATCCACATATCCTGAAGTATTGCTACATGAGCCACAGTTTGCAGTCTTTACTTGTTGCATTGCATTATTGCTGATCACCTTCCTGAGTTAATGTGCCAACAAAGCTCACAAGGGGCATCAAGATGAGTGAATGAATCAAGCTACTAATTGATTGCCACTGCTGCTGTTGACCGCTGTACCTGTCACTGAACTGCAGATTGGCGAGTACAATGGGGACATGTTGATGGAGCAGCAGCAGGGCTGGGACAAGATCGTGTGGCGTCAGGAGTTTGCGGAAAATGACGTGCTCGTCATGACCCCACAAATCTGTCTTAACATCCTGCGCCATGGCTTCACCACCATGAACCACATTGCACTCATCGTCTTTGATGAGTGTCACCATGCGCGAAAGAAGCATCCAATGAATTGCATTCTGCAGGTAGTGGCTGTCAATTGCAGGCGAATTGTTGCCATCTGTGGCATATTCACTGCTTTTAAAGATTCGCTGTGGCTGAAGTTGCAGAGCTGGCATTGTCTGCATGGCACATCACTGGGGTCAATTGGGCTGCCAGGGGCAGAATGAATACTGATAGAATTACCTGTTGATGTAGGTAAATGGTTTGAGTTGTGTGCATGTGCTTCCTTTGTCTGGCCAGTACAGTTGCCTGCAGTGATCCATCGTTGCCCCATATTCCCACCATCCATGCGCCTTCTTGTTCAGGAGTTTTATCACAAGGCCCCCCGCCTGGGATTTGAACGCCCTAAGCTGTTTGGAATGACTGCGTCACTCGTGGATGGCCGTGGCAGCAACAATGTTGAAGCGAGTTTCCACGAACTGGAGACCAACCTGAACTCCATGATAATGACTGTGAAGAACAGAGATGCCATTGAGAAGTACACTGCCAAAGCTTCTGAGCATCTCATCTGCTACCAAAGCAGCTCTGTCGTGCAGCAACTTCGTGACCCTATGAGGTATGTGATTGCTAGCCCCAGTCGGTGGTTTTGTTGACACTCATGCAAAACTTCTTGAGGAACATATAATGAAGCAATTATCCTCTTAAAGAGTGGCAATATTGGGCACTACCTTCTTTTGCTACAAACCCACAAGGCGTAGGTGTTGCTGCCCTAGACATTTACAACAACCCTGGACCATTTACAGTGCCCTGGATTTCTACAACAATTGGAAAGGAGCTACTGGGTCACCTTTGTTTGAGTTTCCTCTGTCCCATATTCATTGTCGTCTATTTGAAAGAGACCTTTCGCTATAAAAGCGGCATCTAAAATACAAGAAGAGGCCAGATTCAGAAAAGTTGGGATTCTGAACTCCAGTTTTCTAGAAGAAAAAGTGAGCCCCGTTGGGCGAAAAGCAAATTGTAGTGGTTTTGGAGCGAAGAGTTCTTGGTTTACTGGGCAGAGGACCCTTGCTACAAATTGATGCCAAATCCATGATGCTAATGGAATGACATGAATTTTTATCTTAGACCCCACATTCGTAGGCGTTGTTAGTGTGGGACAGAGGAAGTAATAGATTTTATGGACCCAACCATTTCTTTTGCTAGTGTGTCTGCTTGTATTTTTTGTTTACCTGTTTGAGCCAACAAACGTGTGGATCTGTAGGCTGCTGGACAGGGCCATTTTAAGACTTCAAGCATGCAGCAAACTCATCCAGCTGCAACGCTTCAAGGCCACTGGGCACTTTGGCACTGAGTCCACGTGGACAATGGAGGTCAAAAGGAAGACCCCATGTGACCAAAGAATCCGCCAGCTCAGCAGCCTTAGATATATTTTGCAGGTAATCTTTCGACCTGGCGAATTTTGTGAACTCGTATGGACCTTTCTTCATGTGACACTTCTAGTACGGACAATTTTTCTGGCAAAGGTGTGCCACTCCTTACCTCATCGATGGACACATTGCGGCCTTATTACACGTGCATCATGTCCTTTGACCATGTGCTGTGTGCCACATTATTTGCAGCATTGCCTTTGTTAAAGGGTGGAATATGAATGTACTTGTTCACAGAATATGTGTGCGAACCATTCCAAGTGCGCATTCACTGAATCTGATTTATCATGAGAAAGCACATGGGACAACCACTATGAAACCGTGTGGGCCTTGAGGATGCAGTTGTGCTGATTGTTGTAAGTCAGGAGATATATCGACATTGTGGCTTCTATGTATTCCTCAGTATTTCATGGTTTAGCTCGGCACTTGTTGCACAATAGTAAATGCTCTGGTGCTACCTCTTTTGTTCGGTAATGTTGCTGAATCATGTCAGCATCGCTACAAGGGTTAATGCAAAGGGTCACATGATGGGGATATGTGAGCTTAGAGTCAATTTGGGGCTTACTGTACTGAATTTGACATAATGCAGTCCCTGATGTGTTAACAAGTTCACCGTCCTTGTTTGTCGATCCTATACGTGGGCATCAATTATATAAATGCAAAGGAAGAAGCAAGGATATCTCATCCACAAACAAAAAAAAAAAAAAAAAAAAAACTGTGCACACTGACTAATTGTGCACATTGAATGTAGTTGATGGAATGCTGCTTGCACTCAGAGAATGGATTCAGTGGACAGGAAATATTGTTCCAAATACCATGGTCTTGACCACTCCATGGTGTTGTGCCTTGTTGGCAGAGGGCCATATGTTTGGCATTGTAAGTCCTGCCACGTAAGTTGCCATATGGTCCTTATCAATTTTGGCCTTTGTCGCTGGCGAGCGGGGCAAAGCCAATGGAGACATCAAGCCCAGGCACAACACAACATAGTTTCTTGAAAAAGAAATGGACGCTTGACGAGTCCATGGCTTGACGATGATGAAGATGGACCAATTGCTGTGTAACAACCAAAGCAGAATGGGAATGACGGCGTGTTGATAACTAGTAGTTTCAATTCTTACAGCAGCCAGAACTTAAGACAATGAACTCGTGGACACATCTCTAAAGTGTGTGGATGTCTTCAATGCTTTGCAGTCTGTGATGATTTGAGGCACCTGACTCCTACAATGCTATATTGCACTTGCCAGTCATTTGGTGCTTTGGGTTGTTTTGCTGAGACATCACCCATGTCGTATAGCATTCCTGCATAATGCTGTGTGCTTGTGCCTGACTGTCATTTCTTCCTCCTTTAGGTGCATGTCCCAACAAGAGGTTCCCAATATTACCTGTCCAACATCAGGCTTGTTCCAAACACTGCAACAGTGCCATTCAATAGCAGAACTTAATGATTTCAATGGCATTGTTCCCATATATTGTCAACACAACTGTGCATGAAAGTTGTTGTCACTATCATTGCAGGAGATGGGATTTCTTGCGGCAACATTTGCCCTTGTAGAAATATTGGAAGAATCTGAAGGCAACGAAGTCGGGCAATACTATAATACCTTGCGCGCTCGACACAATTGGGATGACGACCAAGAGGAGCAACAAACCAGAATGGGTGAAGGAGTAAGGAATGAATATGTTGGATCTTTGGAAACTGTGCAGATTGAATTCAACGTTTTGCAGTGGCCCTTGTACAATTGTTTTGCTCTGCACATCCCTCGCGTTGTTGTGCACCGAGCGCAGCAACTGTGTCAGTACTTGAGGCTGTGTGCTAGTCACGTGCAGCATTTGTCAAGGACAGGCAATACTCTTGCGATTAATGGCCCAGGTGGGCCATTGTATAAAACCTTGTTCCTAGCCCCGCACTCAGCTGTCAACTGAAGCAGCTGCACCGTATGTATGATATTCGCTGCACTTTTTGCACGATATGATTTAGATCAACTAGTACAGCAGGCTGAGGACTTCAGTCATGTAGCAGTGACTTACCACACAGGTGGCAGCGGCTAAGTTGAACGAATGCAGGACATAAAAACGTTCTTGGATGCGTACACACCTATCATCACCTACAAGGTGCGAGGGCTGTTCGTATCATAGTGTAATACAATTGGAATTCAAAATAAAAAGGTGCAGGGGCACAGCTTTGATTTGTTGGAGGCAGTTTTAAGAAATTGCAGCACCTTGTGTACTAAGTGCTTGTGCCTGTGCAGTGCACGTGTGATATTGGCAAGCTTTTCGCTGGTGCAAGCGGTACTTTGGCAGGTACTGAAATTTTTTCTTACATATTGCTTGGTAAATGTCCAACCACAGATGGGCCCAGAACTGGGCATTTCATCAGATGGTTCACCCACATCGTTGGACGCCAGGGAGCTGCTCCAAATCCTGCATCGTGAGAATGGCGTGAAACGTGTTTTGCCTTTACTGGAGCCACGCCTGCTTGAGCACAAGGACCTCCTGAATGACAACTTCAGGGACCATGACACCATCCAGATGCTGTCTCTTCGCGATGCTGCAGAAGCTTTGGCATGGGTTGTTCTCAAGGGTGAGGAGGCTGCGAGCTTCTTGAAGGGCTTCAGCTTTTCAGAGTCTGGGTTGTCTGAAGCAGTCAAGGTGCTGAGGGACAAAATCTCTGTTGAGGAGGTGTCCAAGGTGCTGTACGATCAGAAAGCTTCGATGGTAGGGAGCCTGGGGGGCCCAGAGGGCGCGTTGAAGATTGTCACCCACAAGGTGCAGCAGCTGCTTCGGTTCTTGAAGCACAGGGAAGAGATGATCAAAGGCAAGCTTTGGAGGCTCAGGGCTTGTCATTAACTGCTGAACTCGCCATCGATCCAGGTTTTGCTGATGGAGGGTGTCCAAGCGTGAGCTTTGTCATTGTGCGGTGCTTGCGTGCTCACAGTGCCAACACCACTTTATTGCTCGAGGACATATGTTGCTTGAATGCTGGGCAGCTTTTGGACGTCAAGTGAACTCATTGTATCCTGTTGATGATAGTGGAACATAGTCAAGTGCTAGTCATCATTCACTGAAGATGAAGTGAGAGCAAGAAAAGTGACAGAGCACAGACCTTGCACACAAGAGGACTCCAATGTGTTCACATTAACGGTTGTCAAATGAACCTGTCTTGGCTCAAAGCTTTCTATATGTCGACTATTGCTGGCTGCCCTTGTGTGCGACTCTTTCCTGTTGAAAGTTGATGCATTTCTGGCTGACAGAAGAAGGCCACACAGACTGGCGCGGAATCATATTCGTGGAGCAGACGATCTCTGCTGTTGTCCTCGAGCAGCTGATGACCCTTATTCCAGAGCTGAGCTATTTCAGGAGCCAGTGTCTAACAGGTGAGACCTTTGCCATAGTTTTCACCCTGCGGAATATCCGAGGTGCCGCCAGTGTATCCAGCGAATGAGCTGCCTCTTGCTTTCCAGGTACAGCTGGTGCTGTGCTGCAGCCAAGTCCTGAATGCCGCTGCAGAAAGTGAACATAAACTGCCAGGTTCCGTTTTCAGACCATCAGGGAAGCAGAGAGGAGGATTGGTATATGCCCATCGGGATGAACCTTAGAAGAAAACGAATTCTGACCGGAGCAAGTACGCCTCGATGAATCAATTGAGTTTGTTAGTCAAGCTGTTGTGTGCAGGGCATGGGGGCACTGTGATGTCGACTGCAATGCAGGACAAGCATCAGCGGAGGATCGTGAGGCTGTTCCGGGAGGGCAAGGTGCGCTGTTGGCCATGGCTACTGTCCTGAACATGTTGGATGGATGTCCAGTGTGGATGTCCAGTCAACAGCATCTCCATTGCTTGAATGCGCTTTGTTGAGTGCCTGTGTTAATCTGTGCATCCCGTGTTGAAAGTGGTCGAAACTCAGTTTTGCCCATGGCTGGAGGCAATCCTAATGGCATTCATCATAGGATTGACAGTGCACTGCCCTTAAAACCATAAAGCCATCAGGAACCATTAATGCGTGAATGGTGTGCACTCCCTCAGTGTACCTGAAAGATTCGCACACAGTTGGCCAATGTGTTTTCAGGAGCTGCCACAGAAGCGGATGTGAAAGCAGCGGTGCACTGCAGTCAGATGGCCATTAATGTGTTCACCATCATCGCCTTTGGCTGCAAGGATCCTTTTGTTTGCCTGACAGGCCAGATGCAGCCAAGAACGAAATTCCACCGCTTTGTTGTATGTGCTCTTAGAGCACTTTCTGGGCTGCCTCCACAGATCAACCTTCTGGTGTCCACCAGCGTTGCTGAGGAGGGCTTGGACATCACTGAATGCCGGCTCGTGGTGCGCTTCGACCTGCCGAAAACCGAGGCGGGCTATATCCAGAGCCGGGGACGTGCCCGCAAGGAGGACTCAATGTATGTGCTCTTTGTGGAGCAGGGCAACGAGGTGCACATGACGCTGGTGCACAGGCTGCGCAACTCAGAGCGGCAGATGAAGATGTATGCACAACACATAAAATCCGTGATGGAGTGCGAGGCGGATGAAGACGAGGACTTCATCAGGTTGAGTCCTTGTTGCATTGCATTGGCGGAGCGGAACATGGCCATTGCATCCACTTGGCCCATTAGCCTAAGTTTGGCATTTTGAAATTCTGACTGTTTGGTTGTACCTTTGCTGCTTGTATGTGCTGTCGTCAGAGCTTGATAAGGCACTGCATGACGGGTTCCCTTGGTGATATCCAGTCTCCTTTGCTGAAATAACTTGTGTGGATGACAATTCCACTCAAGAAAGTGCTTCGTCAGTGGTGTGCATGTCTAAGAGCATTGTTGGCTTTTTGGATTCATGTTCGGGGCACCAACCACGATCTTATCAATTCATGCTAGCATTGCGCAAAGGGGTGTACAAATGTGGTATCGACGAACATGGCATTGGATGCACACTCTCTTTGGGCAACAGTTTCGCAAACAGACGTTTTGGAACCACCTTTATGTTGTTTGCGGAATCTGTTGTGTAGCAATATCACCTGAAATGTTTGTTTGCCGCTGCCATTACCAAGAAGGAATACAGCCCTGCTCTGCCACGCTCAATTGTACTGGGCAGTGTGCTATTGGAGCAAACCCATAGTACGCAGCTGTAGCCACCAGGAAATGAAAGATGACGTCTAGCCTGCAATTATTAGTTGGCAGGTCGATGGGCATTTGTGCTGTTGTGCCAGAGTGTACTCCCTTCCATTGATGTATTGTTGTTTGGCATTGATGCATAACAACAATCAAGATCAAGGTTGTTGTTTTGATCAGCAAGGTGTGCACCATTGTGTATGGAATTCTGATGCTGTTGGCCAACTGAAACCCGATTGTTGTCCTCCGCAGCGGCACAGACATGGCCAACATGGAGATCGAGGAGGCTGAAAAGAAATCCAAGACAAGGCCATCAGAAAACCTGACATCCCTCGAAGTGAAGGAGACTGGGGCAAAGATATCTGGGGATGCTGCAGTTTCCCTCATCCACCGTTACTGCATGAACCTGCCGCACGATCAGTACTGCTCCCTAATCCCCCGGTTCTTGTTCAGGTACACACTCTCCGCAGATTGGATGTGTTCAGTTTCTGTTTATTTGAGGTTAGTGGTGCCTGGATGTCAAAGTGCCAGGCGCCGCTTTGCTGAGAACCAGCTGTGCTTGTAGTCATGCGGCATGAGAGCTAGCGCAAATACTAACTTGTGCAAGTGGCAGTTCTTTTGCATTGCCTTGCAGGTGAATGGGCATTGTTCAGTTTAATGTGCGCAAATGTAGCAATGGTGCGAACTTGCTGAGGGTCGCTCATCCTGTGCCGCCAAATTTTGGGTGGACCCGTCTCTGGTAGCGTTTTGCACATGGAAAACAGCAGATGTGCATTCAAGGTGGGCTCAATGCATTTTTTTGGACAAGGAATGTTTTGGCACAGCTCGGTTGGGTCAACTGTTTGCTTTAGCCCATTCCCTCCACGCAACCGCCGCGCGCTTCACCAAACAGCAGCGAGGCAGGCTGCTGAGAGCGGGCGATCCTCTCGCAGGTCCCAGACGGGCGACAAGAACAACCAGAAGCAGTTCCAGTACCAGCTCACCCTCCCCAGCAATGCCCCCATCAAGGGCCCTCTGGTGGGGGCGTGGAGCGACTCCAAGGCCCGGGCCAAGGCCGCCGTGGCGCTGGCCGCCTGCCGCGAGCTGCAGCTGCTCAACGAGCTGGACGACTGCCTTCTGCCCCAGGCTGCCGCCTCACCGGGCGACGAGTCCAGGAAGAAGCGCAAGAACATGTCCGCGGACGAGGCCGCGGCCGCATTGGAGGCCGACTGGCACATCGAGACCAACATCAACCCGCGCGTGCTCGTCTGCGCGGACGACCGCGACGCCTACCTCCGCCTGATGCGCGATGGGGGCCGGGCCGACAAGGGGGGGGCCGGGGCGAATGCCGCGCCCAAGGCCGGCCCCGCGAGAGAAGCGCCCGAGGACGCGCTGCCCGGGCTGCTGCGATCCTCCCCCCGCGCGCCCAACGGGGACTTCCGCCTCCACCTGCACGCCGCCGAATTCGAAATCATCAAACCCCCGGACGCCTCTGCCGATCTCGTGATCCCGGAAGCGCTCGGCGTGGTGGCCTGCCAGCCCCTGCCCGGTCCCTGGCGCTTCCCGCTCTTCCCCGAGTCCGCCGAGGTCAGCGTGGCCCTAAAGTACGTGGGGGAGCTGGCGCTGGACCCCTGCGCGTTGCGCGACCTCAAGGCCTTCCACCTGGCCCTCTGCGAGGGCGCCTACTTCAAGGGCAAGCTGCTGTCCCAGGCCTGCACCACGTCCGAAAACGGCATCCAGCGCCGCAGCTTCTACGGCCGGATCGCCGCCGACAGGGTGCGCTACATGTCCGGGGGCGTGACCCAGGCCCTGGACGGCTCGCCCACGCGCAACCTGAGCTGGTATTTGGTTGCGCCGCTCGCGGGCGGGTCCCTGGGGCCCGTAACGCCGTCGGGGATGCCGTCCAGGCGGGAAGGCAGGGGGGGCGCGAACACCCGCGGCGGGGTGGCCGGGGATGGGCGGCGCGGGGAGCCGTCCCAGTCGGAGGAGGCCGGCGGGGGGAGGGTCAGGGCGGCGGGCTGGATCACCGGGCGCAAGGCGGGGGTGCGCAGGAGGGCGGTTGAGGAGGGCATGAGGTCGAGGATCTACGGCCGGCCGCCCAAGTACGTGCCCTGCGGCGGGTTCCCTAAAGTCCGGGGCGGCGAGGCGGGCCCCAGGTCCCCGGGCGGCGCCGACGGGGGCCTCAAGGACCTGGGGCTCGGGCGCGGGGACGGGGACGGCGGCGGGATTGGGGCGCGCGACGGCCGGCCCGCGCGGGAGCTGATCGATTGGGAGCTTGTGCGGTCGACGGCCGCGCGGCTGGAGCGCGTCGTGGCGAGCGGCATACCGCGGGAGCAATGGGGGTGCCTGGTCAGGGGTGACATCGTCATGTCGACGTACAACGAGGGGGTGTACAGGCTGCTGGGCGTGCGGCGCGACCTCAGCCCGAAGTCGTCGTTTCCGGCCAAGCCAGACCCCAGGCTGATGGATAGGGACCTCAGGAAGGTGGGTGGGCGGGTGGGCAAGGCTTGCTGCAGTTCAGGGGGGAGAGCGAGAGAGTCTTCAATTAAATTGGGATACCTTTATACAAAGGTTTCGACATTGCAAGTCATGCCCCATCTGTGGTATGTTCAGAGTGTGTGTCACAACTTTTTCACCCCCGTTAAAGGTCGCCAATGTACAATAGCTCACGGAAGGACAGGTACGCGAATGGCACTCGCTCCCAAGCGAGTGTGAAAGGCTCTTTCCGTGCTGTGAAAGATTGCGTAGAGTCTCCCTGTGCGTGGTGAAGAGCGCACAGCAGAAGCAGAACCAACAGAAAACATGTGCTCAGGATGGGTGGGACGGTGGGCATGGATTCTTGTTGGCTTTGGTGCCTGATATGCATTGCAAGGTAACGAGACATTTCAGGCCCTTGGTGCTGTTATGTGCCCTCAGTTGCTTCTCAACTCAGCTGATCAGACAGCTTCATAGATCTGCGACAGTTTTCTGCAAAGGACAGAATGCTCATAACCAAGAAAGCACAAGTCATTGAAACTAGTTGCGCAGTATCTTGTAGGGTAAAGAAGATGGTGTGTTGTGACCGGGACATACCTTTGCCACTTTCCAAGGGCGAAGCACTGGCACACTCCAAACGTGTCAATTTTGTATCAACTCCCAGTTTGTGCATTTGGAGTGCTCTTGTGATTCGCACGTGGACAGTGGGAAGCGTAGATGGTCCTGGCGTTTTTGTCTCGTTTGATGAAACAGCAGTGCAGAAGCAGATTGGGACATTTATGTGTTGGCACAGTGTGCACGTAGATCGATGTGCACATGCGAACGTGTTTGGTTTCAAGCTTGTGTGCTTGTTTCTTATCCATGGAGTTTAGATTTCTGTAGAGGATGGAAAGTAGGTGGGATGAGCATGGGCTTCGAATTCTGGCGATGTTTGTGGCATGGGCCTAAACGTGTACGAATACTTGTGCAAATCGTCGTTGCACCAAACGTGCAGAATGCACCAAATGAACTGCATGACACAGGACATGGATGTTATGTGCCACGGCTGATGATACATCTGGTAGAGCCCTTTAATGTTGTCCATTAGAATGTTGTGGTGTATCAGACCTGGGGCAATGTCTCTCCAACTATGAGCTTATCTCATTTCCTTCATTCCTTCATAGATGCGTTATTTATCTCTGACCTTATATTCCGGAACTCAATTCTTATGCAGAACGTTAGCCATTAAATCACTCGATCATCTGCTTGGTCACCACCGAACACACTCTCCAGGAAAAAGTCTTGCTAGTCCACATTTCTATGGTGCTGCACACTTCTATTGTGCCAACAAGACTTTCCTGGAGGGTGTGCTCGGAGGTGACCAAGCAAATGATCGAGCGATTCAGTGGCTAATGTTCTGCATAAAAATTGAGTTCCGGAATAAAAGATAAGAAACAAACAGGGCATCTATGTAGGAAGAAGAGTAACCCAAACACAATGTTTAATGTCAGGAAGCAATACGGGCACAGCTCAGTGAGTCGATGGCGAGCCCATCAGCAGAGGCAGAGGTATGCGAGTACGAGACATTTGAAGAATACTATGCCAAGAGGTGGGGCCTGTCGAATTTAGATAGCCAACAACCGCTGCTCGAGTGCGAGCGCATGAGGACAATGTCCATCTTGAAGAGGGCACGGAACTCTCTGCGTCGGGGCTGGAACCCACTCAGGGCCCTGATGGAGGATGAAGAGGAAGGGGCTGCACTGGAGGTGAGCTTATATATGACAGTCTATTTCAAATTACGATGTACTGCACGTAGTATTGATGTTGTGGTCTTTTTGTTGAAATCGGAGGGTTTTAGTTGGCTTGAGCATGGGTGAAACCTATTGGAGAGGTCACCATTTCAGCAACAAGACCACCACACCAATTTGACGGCATGTGGGGCACTGTCAACATCCAAAGGCGTTTACTGCTGAAGTGAGTGTGTTCCCTTTGCCACACAACATTCTGGTGGTGTGCTGGTGCTGGGAGCACATATCCTCATTAATAACATCAGTGAACACATGAGGAAGCACTGCCTTTTAAGATGTTAGAAGTCCTCATGCTGCAAGGAGAGGGGCATAGCAAATTTTATGAAACCTTGCATTGCTCCAGCATGTCACAATTAATGAAGCGGCAGTGCTTGTCACGTTCTTGCACACTTTATCAATGAGGACTTCCCTTCCCAGTATTCGCGCACTAGTTATGTGGAGGGTTCTTTAACATGGGGCAGGAACAAGATCTTATGGTCACCTATGGATGCCAACCATGGCTGACATCTTACAGCAGGTGAAAGGGTAGAGACTTTGCACATTTTGTCTATGTGATAATGTGGATTGTCCTCCTGTTACTGCGGCTATTGTCCTGTGCAATGTGCCATGCCAAGCCCCACTACAGGATGCCTACTCAACATGCTGCAATTCTGTCTGGGGTGGGAAGGGATGCTCTTGCATCATTGTCATTGCGTTCAAGCAATTAGGTCGGTGGTCCATCACTTTGTCCCTGTTCAGCACTGCCGAACATATGGTGATGCGTACCAAGAACAACACTGGGGACAGGATTTTGCCAGGCCTGCTGCTCTCACCTCGCAAGCCTGCGGGCTGGAATCAAGGGGCAACCCAGCCTGGCTATTGGAGCCAATTGTTTCCTGTGAAGGCATCCTGTAACAGCATGGGCATCATCCCGTGCCAAGAATTTCACACACATTCAGGCTTACTTGACGACTGTGTATGCAGCGATCTAAACACATTATTTGCCACATTTTGTTTTTGATTTATTTGGCCATGTTGCCATGTTATGGACATTTTGGACACTGCTTGGTCATTCTTGGCCTGTGGCTGCGAACGCTGCTCTGTGCTGCACCCCACATGGGTGAGTTTCCCCCACAGGGGTACAAGTGCGCAACAACGATTCCATGTTGATGTTGCAAGTTAGTGTTGGGCTGTATCTCACAGATGCCCACCTTTGCACATTTGGTGTAGATTTCAATCACATGAACTTTTGGAGTGTGATGACAAGGCACTGCCCTGCAGCGAATCACTTGATGTCTGTATCGATTGACTTGCCACTTGCGTCTTGGGGCCTTTTGTCAGGATACCAAGGAGGAAGCATACCAGAAGAAGAAACAGGACAGCCGGTGGACCAAGGTTGTGCACCTCGTGCCAGAGCTGGTCGTGCTGCATCCGCTGCACCAGACGACGTGGGCCTCACTCAGCATGGTGCTTGCTGTGTTGTGGTGCTTGGAGAACCTGCTGAAGGTCCAGGAGCTTGGGGAATTTCTGTGCAACTCTGACATCATAGAGAGGTGGGACAAGGCATGCTGCGCTGCCTGCTTGCACTTGTTCAAAGTGCCCTTGCATCTGTAACGTCCATTTTGGTGAGGCTTCAAGCAGGAAAGAAGGGGTTCATGTCATTCCCATTGCTGTACAGTGCAAAACGCGAGCAAAAGCAAGGGGATTCAATAACCCCCCACGGGGAAAGGGCGGACCTAGCAGTCTAGAAGAGCTTCGGGGCCTGGTTGGCAGACACATTAGGACGGTAGTCAGATGGGAATTCAAGAGATACCATGGTGGCGACATGCACAATGGGGTGTCGTAACGCCATGGCTGGAAAACTCCTTCTTCTTCTTCTTCTGTACTATGCAAGTCCTTTCACATGCCCTTGCTGGCATAACAGACACATTGTCAAGCCAACTGCTTTCATGTTTCAGGGCATGTCTGTCAAGAAGCTCACTTTCCTTGCTGGTGTAAAGGCAAGTTGCTATACTGGAAGTGCTTGTGCGCCATCCTGCAGTGTTGGACATGCTGATGAGTCAATGTGCGGGTGAGCTTGGAACTGGTACATGTCCTTCATTCTGTTCCTGTAGCGAATGTGGACAGTGCAATATAAGCTTGCTTGCCTGTGACAGGTCTATCGCCATTCCTGACGTCCAGATGCTGTACGAGTCCGTCACCAGCAAACACTGTGGAGAGCACTGCAATTATGAGCGGCTGGAGTTCATGGGCGATGCGCTGCTTAAGTATGCGGCCACGATGCACCTGTATTGGTCTTTCCCAGAGGCCCACGAGGGCATCCTGACTAAGAAGCGGGAGGCCATGGTTTCAAACATCCGCCTTGCCAAGGTGTCCCAGAGGCTTGGGCTCAATCGGTGTCTGCGGCACATTCGACTGGGTGACCACCCATGGAGGCCGGCAGGATGCCACTTTTTGGACGCTTTCTGGGCTTCTGTTGGTGGTGACATGACTAATGGTGCTGCTTGGTATGGAGGGAGGAAGGGCAAAGCCCCGCCGAGTGAGTCCACTGAACATGCCTTTGACAGATGTGCTCTGACAGGCATGTGCGCAACTTGTTGTTTTGATACCTGGATGAGTGAATGATGCAGTTTGGCTTTATGTTGCTCCTGCAGAAAATAGGGAGTCTCAACTGAGTGGAGTGCTGGACGCAATACTAGTGCTGTCACCGCCTGCCACTGGTGCTGCTGCCGTTACTGCTCCTACTTCTAGAACTACGCTGTAGTAGTGGTGGTACCCAGTGCTGCCCATTGTCTGAGACAAGCATCAGCACGCTTGTGCAGTGTTCCTTGTTGATGCTGCGACCCTGTGCTGGAGCATTGGTAACTCTGTCCACTTTTCGTATGGCCTTGTGTGTTCCAAGAGCACGGCCCGCCAATTAGAACAGTGCCTGGACCAAAATATTCTGCACGCTGCCATGAGGATCGCACAAGACACTGCCCTTCACCTTTGCTCACACAGATGAGTTGTGATCCCACTGGAGCAAATGTGCCTTGATAGACTTGTGCATTCTTATGGACAATGCCCAGTGGTTGGGGGGTGACGGGATGGTGACTGAAGAAGATGGGATGATGGCCAAGATGATCTGACACTGTTGTACCCTTTTGTTGTACCCAGCACAACGCCAATTCGAAACGTTCAAAGTGAAGTTCAAGCTGCTGGCAGATGCAGTGGAGTCCTTGATAGGAGCCTTTTATGCCCATGGTGGCATCAAAGCCGGGTTTGCTGTGATAGACCGGATGGGGCTTGTGCCTGCACAGTACCTCTTCCAGTACTCAGAGATATTCGAGACCCGGGATGACTGGCTACGGGACGTTGTTGCAAACCCGGATGCCACCAACATACCCGAAGGAATGAAGTCCTTTGCTCAGACATCCAGCAGGGCGAGGGGCTTTAAGGGCCAGAGGGACATGTCAGGTTAGCGCAAACAAAGGTGATGCTGCTGTGAACAGTTTGCAGGCGAATTTGCTGCTGCAGCACTCCAAAGTGTGGCGATTGGTGAGCTTCACAATGTTCGATTTGCCCATTGTTGGCAAAGCATTGTGCGGTCAATTGATTTACAGTGCTGGGCACCATAACAGACTGCAGCTGCCAACCATTGTTATTGCATGTATTCAGAATAGTTCATGCCTTACTGAGTAATGGGATGGGTCGAATTGGGTGATGGAATTGTTGATTGCGGCACTTTAAGCTAGCAGCAACGATAAGCAACAGGTGGAAATCAATGACCTTGTTTCTACGCCTCCTATTTCTATTGGTGCCTTAAAAAATACTGTCTGGTCCACAGGCCTGGAAGAAATCGTGAAGCACAAGTTCCAAAACAAGTCCCTTGTTCTGGAAGCAGTGACACACTGTTCCTGGCCGCATTCTGAACCACCGTGCTACCAACGCCTGGAGTACCTGGGTGACGCCGTGCTGGACATCCTGGTCACGCGCTACATGTTCCACAAGTACGGAGACTCAAATCCTGGTCAGCTGACTCACTTGCGGCAGGCCGCTGTCAACAATGAGCGCCTGGGGCTCTGTGCAGTGAAGCTGGGGCTGCAGAGGTTCATCCTCCACTTCTCGTCATACCTCCAGGCCCACATATCCGAATTTGTAAACCAGGTGTGGTTTGCCTCGCACAAGCTGCCCATCGTTATGTACATGGAAATCCCATTCAAACAGCCCCATTTCCCCATTGAACGATGTCCTGCCTGGAACTTTGTTGGGTAAAATCTTCTTAGATGCAGTTGCTGCTGTGATAGCTCTCCTCCTGTCTTTTCTTTCGTGGCAGGTTGCCACATTTTGGTTTTTCGATGCTTCCACATCGCATTCAAGAGTGCTGTCGCAGTTCCACTTGCATGAGGGAATCACAAGAGTCTCGAAGCATGTGTACGGTCTGTGCATCGCATTCCTTTGGCGATTGTTGTCCAGTGAATCAACCAACAGCCGTGCATGGCATTTGTGCATGTGGAGCGATTGCCGAGACTGCAGCATTCGTGGTATTGTTTCCATGGTGAGCGGGTGTGGATGGGGTGTTGGCACTCAAGCTGCTGCCTACATAGTACACCACATTTTCGATGCAGTGCTCAGGAAGTCAAGACAAAATAGCTGCTGTGGCGCTGCTCTTTTTGTGGTCCAGCAACCGATGCTGTGGCCAGAGTACTGCGACCTTCCCATTGGTTATGTTGTTCCTTCCCAATGTTACTGGTGGGCGGTCAATAGCTGGAATGGGTGCAGTGAGATCACTTGTTACAACTTGGTTTTGGCACCTACCCCTGGGCTTCTCTATGTCCCAACAGAATGGGCCCCCACATTGTCCATGCACTCCCTGATCACCTGAGAGTGCTCTGTTGCCCTGGTGATGGCACCCCAGGCAGCATTTTTAAAAGATGCCTTCTGTATGGTGTCAAGCTGTATCAATTCCTCTCCGCAAATTCCTAGAACCTCGTTTTCAAGCATGAACATCAGAAAATGAAGCGCCCTTTCACTGGCGCTCCAGGCAATGTTCAACAGGTTGCAGTGCACCTTCACTGTTGAACTTTGTCTCCTGCCCTTGTGCACCAAACACACCAGACCATCAACATAGCCTGATGAAAGAAACAATGCAGAAACCAATTTCTAAAGCACCAGGCAGTGTGCTGCTGCCTGCATTGCTCAAGGATCTGGAGCACAAGCAGACAGCCTAAAGAATGTCTGCTGGTGCAGACGCTGAACCCCTGTCCTGTGTCCGGCCCTCCTTTCCAGGTGGAGCGCCTGTCTCAGGAGAAGGCTGGCCGTGGTGGGCGGGCCTCCTTCGGCTTGGGCGAGCGCCAGGCGCCCAAGGTGCTGGGCGACATCGTGGAGGCTCTCATTGGGGCCACCTACCTGGACGCCTATGGCAGCTTCAAGGCCACCTGGGCCATCTGGGAGCCCCTGCTGCAGCCCCTGCACACGCCGGACACCGTGCCAATGCACCCTGTGCGCGAGCTGCTGGAGCTCTGCCAGGCCTTCCACTGGGACGTCGAGTTCAGGAGGGTGCGGGACAGGCCGGGGCGGCGGGCCCAAGGAGAGGGCGGGCCAGGGGGCCCGGGTGGGCTGCGCAGGCAGCGTGGGGAGTCGGATGGGGGTTCTGACAGCGATGAAGGTGGGGTGGTGGAGTCCGTTGCCCTTTTGCTCCGGATGCTTCCCTTGCGCACGCTGATGGGCGTGATTCCAGGATGCTTTGTTGGAATGTTCGCTCCTGTTGCTGCTGGCTGCAAAACCAGGAAATGGTAGAGCAGTAACACGTTCAATACTTCCATTGAAGCGAGTTGTGAAGAAAAGGGTGTCACAAGAGTCTCTTGTGGTGGGAGGGTTGGCCCGTGTTGACCCAGTTGGCCCGGTAACTGGCCCGTGTTGGCCCAGTAACTGGGTTGGCCCAGTTGGCCCGTGACAAGTTCACCTTCTTGTGAAAAGGGTAGCTGCACTCAGTTGGGTGACCAGACACATCCCCGACTTGAAGAGGCAGCCTGATGCACAGTTTGCCTCTTATGGCGTGCTATGAAAACTTGGTAGAGCCTCCTGTTGCATAATTTTCAGGTCAACATGCACAAAGCATGTCCTACGGTGCTTTGAGACACTCCAAGGTGGAAACTAAGATACGAAAATAGCAAAACGAAATGGGGCAGGACATCAACGAAATTGAGGTGTGTAACAGGCGGGGAGGAGGAGGACGATGACGAGGAAGAGGACGATCTTGAGTTGGATGCAGAGGTGAGGGAGGCCGGCTCCGATGAGGAACGGGCAGAGGAGAGACCAGATTGTTCGTTGAGGGAGGATGGTGGGGTTGGCGGGTCTCGGGCAGACTTCAGGAAAGACAGGTCAGGCAGGCGGGCCGTGACAGACGTCACATCCGAGCCCCTGGCCATCAAGGTGAGCTGGGATCGGTCTATGAAGGGATTGGCATTCCCGGTCAGGCAGGTAGTGCCCAGTTTGCCATTTCGCCGAAGGAAGTGGTGTCCATGAATGCTGCCCCGCTGGCCTGGAAAGAACTGGTGTAATTTGCTGCTAGCTGCATTGTCAAAGTGTGACTTCTTTGTTGCCCTTTTATTTTGCTGACAGATGGCAAGGGAGTGTAGATAGAGCTTACCTTGCATTCCCCCACTTTATGGAAGCATTGCCATGCCGCACGCAAGGGAAAGTTCATGCTGACGGTTGGGGCCTGGGGGCACCAACAAAGTGAGCAAACAGACCATGTGTCGTGCAACTGGACATGCCATCATGCTATGTCCAGGTGCCTGAGCCCTTGTCGGCTTGAAACTATGAAATTCGCAATGCATGCAATGGGCAGTGTTGGTTGTGCATGGAGACGGTGCAGGATTTTGAATCCTGTAGCTATGGTTTGTTCTGCTGCCGCCAAGTGCAAGGCCAGAAGGACCACGAATGTGAGACGACGAAGCCCCTGTCGTCTCTGCTGGTTCCGCGCAGCCATCATTTGTATTTGATATGTGGTTTGCGCTCTGGTATTGATGTTTTTTTGTCCGTTTCTGTTTGTTATTTGCATTTGTATGAACATGTTGATGTACTTTGCCCTGTCTGTGCTCAGCCTATCAAACCTTGGCTTCATTGCGTTGGAGGTTCTGAGGTCGATCGGTTGCCAATGGTGTCGGGTCTGCGCGCAGGTGGCTGTCAAGGCGATTGTAAACGGAGAAATTGTCGCAGAGGGTCGTGGTACGCACATAAGAGCAGCAAGGAGGGAAGCTGCGAGGAATGCCTTGGAAGGAAGCTTGTCAGCGTACCGTGGCCACCGAAGGGACCGCCGGTACAGTGCTGTCTGCAGCGTTGAGCGCTAATTCCATGGGCTCAGGATCTCCTTTCAATTGGAATTCATCTGGATGGTCGCAAGCTCACCACAGATATTGAAGCTGGCAACGGAATGAGGGCATTTGGGCCCCTGGATTCGGGCCATGTACTAATGTTCAGAACTGCACTTCATGATGGGGCTGTACACTGTAAGGACAAAACGTGGAAGGACGAATTGTGCCCCTTGCTCCGTCGTGAATGGAATGCTGTCCAGGCCAACATCGACTGCCATCTGAATTGTTTCAAAACCTCCTTTTCGGGATCGACTAGCCATCTGGCAGGTGATTGAGCATTTCCTCCAAGAAATGGACCGCGCAATACAGTTTTGGCCACGCAAGAGCTTGAACTCCGTTCGGCATGCTGGGAATGACAACTGATTGTGCAGTGCTGCATGTGTTGGGCCCAACAATGACACAGTGTGCGCTTCGAATCGTGAGGTCTAGTATTTTGGTCGATGTGGGGTTTGACCGCGCCTTCCCCAATAGCTGGGGGTGGCGACATAATGACCATTAAGGAATGGGGCATCGCTACATTCTTGCATATTTCCTCCGCCGAAATGTAACAGTCGCCATTCGAAAGCTTGCTCACAGCATGAGAGCCAAGCAAATAATCAAGCTCACCATCGCATTTGGAAAGACTAGATATTGAAACCCCAGGAAAGTTCCGTTTCGTCACCTCAGAGGGTGATGTTCATGAGGAAAGTGCACCGTTTGGGGGCGCCATTGGGGCCAGGCCCAGCCAGATCTTGAGGAGTTTGAAATTCTCAACCTGAGTGGCGCGGGGTTGAAGTACTGCTATGTCCACTGCCCTCACCGATTTTCCATGACTTTTGGATCGCATTGTGCCATCCAACATGTAGTGCTTACATAGACTCGCAACAGGCCTCATGGTTTGAATCTCAAGAAAAGAATAACACGAACACGGTACTAGTATGACGTTGGATAAATGGCGGTATTTCTTCCCAAAAGGAGGGAATGCACTGAAGGGCACTAGGTTACAGGTGTTGTGCATCAAATATAGAGCGAACAGAGACGTGTTATCTCAAGACACTGACGATAGCCAAGCCATTTAAACACCCTCGAAGACCTACAGCTAACGTATATATCGTCCTGCTCACCGCCACAGAACGTAGTCTGGCGGTTGGTTTGTGTTGCAAAAGGGTGTATTTGCAGTGCACCGGGGAATCGTTACTTCTGGGACGGCGAAAACGACTAATGCTCTTCTTGTGTCTCTGTTGAAGTCAAGCGCGGAGTATATAGGTGTGTATGTGCTGTAGAACAACATGGGTGTGGCACATGTGCTGCTGAGCGGTGGGAGCATCGAACAGGGTGATTATTACCAAGGGGCCGAACTGCATCAGTCTCAACAGCTGCCGAGGCGGCCTGGAGGCCCCAGGGGAATCTGCATACGCTGGCCAATGTCCTTTTGAACTATTCCCAAGCAGACGGGCCACGCTTACCGCCAGGTCGACACATCTGCTGCCGCGTCAGCATTACTGCCGTGCAGCCTGCTAGGCCACCACATCTGTTAATTGTTTGCGCACTTCGGTCCCGCTTTGCATGCATTTGGGACGGCCGTCAACTTAAATAGCCGGTTCACCAAATCCGCGCCCAGTGACTCGCGACGCTTGAGTCACTTGTGAAGACCCCAAGCCGCTCATCAAGCTGCCGGCGCCACCCTGTGTATCACCGAAATCCCCCGCAGTCTTTCGCACGCTACTGTTCACAGGTGTAGTGCAACCCGCGCTCCCATCCCCCGAAGATGCCCTTTCGAATCCCGGAACCACCTCGCTCAGGCTGTCAGGCCTCCAGGTGTCTGAGGGATTTTAGCCCTCCCAAGAGCAACAAGCCGTGCTCCGAGATGTTCGGGCAGTGCTTCACGCACAGCCTCTCCAGCGACGGCATGTCCTGCAGCCAGGTCAGACCGCCGTCCGTGACGCCGGAGCAGCTCGCCAGGTTCAGCCACCGCAGCGCCGGCATCCCCCGCAGGTGCCCCAACCCAGTGTCGGTGACCCTGACGCAGCCCCGCATGTCCAAGTGCGTCAGCGAGGTCAGGCGCGTCAGCTTCTGCACCCCCGCGTCGGTCACTCTGTGGCAGCATATCAGCAGCAGCCGCTGGAGCGACGCGCAGCTCCCCATGGCCGCCAGCCCTCGGTCCGACACGTTACGGCAGCACGTCACGTTGACGTGACGCAGGTGCTTGAGGCCCACCAGCGACGCCAGCCCGTCGTCCGTGACTTTCGCGCAGTAGGCCAGGTTGAGGTGGCGGAGTGACGCCAGGCGGCCGACGGCCCCGAGGGCCCCGTCCGCAATCCTGGGGCACAGCACGAGGTGCAGCTCCTCCAGCGACTGCATTGGCTTGAGGCACGCCAGGGCCCCGTCCCCGATGTCGTCGAAGCCCTCCAGGCTGAGCCACCTGAGCGACGTCAGCGCCGACCAGCCCTGCGTGGCCTCGTCCGTGAGACCCCCGCAGCAGTGCAGCTTGAGGCTCTGCAGACACGTCCAGGACGCCAGGCGGGCCAGGCCGCCGGCGGTGACCCTCTTGCAGTACAGCATAGCAAGCCGCTGGAGGCGCGACAGCGCGCTCATGGGCGCCAGGGCGTCGTCCGTTAACCGCCCGCAGCCCACCAGCTCCAAGTCCACCAGTGACGTCATGGACTCGATGTTGCCGAAGCCCTGTTGCGTCACCTGCGGGCACCATTTCAGGCGCAAGTGTCTGAGCATCGTCAGCCGCCTCAACGCCGCGACGCCTTCGTCAGTTATGGAGCCGCAGTCCCCCAAGTTCAGCCGCTCCAGCATCTTCAGACTCTCCCCCACAACCCCCAGCACGTCGTCCGTCAGCTTGCCGCAGTGAGAAAGGACAAGACTCCTCAGAGAGGTGAGCAGGCCGAGGGCCTTGTACCCCTCACCTTTGATCCTCCCACAGGGGCCCAACTCCAGCCGCCTCAACGCACCCAGGCTCGCCAGCCACTTCAGGCCGTCGCCGCTGACGTCGCAGCAGCTCCGCAGCTTGAGCCGCTCCAGCGCCGGAACGGACGCCAGGTGCTTGAGGCCCGCGTCCGTGGCACCTCGACTCCACTCGATGTGCCTCACTGCGGGAAGCTCCCCGAGGGAGGCCAACTCGTGCTCGTCGCTGAAGCGCCCGCTCATCTTCAACCACCGGACGTTCACAAACCTTTCGCGCAGCGATGCCACGACCGACCGTATGGGCACATCCTGGACGGATATCACGGCCGTGGATGCAGTGGCCCACGCGCCCCAGTGTCGGTTCACCAGGCGGCAGGACTGCAGCATGTGCGATGCGCTCTCCTCGCGGCGGACCGCGCAGGTCTTGACGAGCTCCAAGAGCTCGTGCGGCAGAGATGCCCAGGTCTGCATGGCCGATTGCTCCCCCTAGAACGCACGCGGACAAAGAATGGCCTCTCAGGCCCATGTGAACCCACTACCGCAAGTAAAAAATCGGCCGAATACATGGCTTCGAACCGTGTAAAAATCGTGTAAAACCACGTCAAAACGTGTGCCGGTAAAAATTGCGTACGCTCGCTGAATCGTTAGTATACGATTTGGCCCCGTTCTTATGCGTTAACTGCACGATGCCTACACGATTTTCAATCGTGTTACACGGTGCATGATTCTAAAAACCGTGTATTTTAGTTCGTGTTTTACTAGCATACGAGGTTTTGTTTCCGCAAGCTCAGCCAATATTGCCAGTTTATCGACAGTGGGCCGTCTGGTGAAAACAGCGCTCTCGCCGTGGCTGAGACTCACTGTCGATCGCTTTGTGCGCTGCCCATCGCATTCCGGGAGCGAAAGTCCGTGTTGTCGGAGAAGATGCGCCATCCCGTGACCCCGCACGAAAGCAGCTGCTCGCGCCACATCTCCCTCCCCGCCGCAAAGCTATCACGCCAACAGCGCAGGCGACCAGTGAGCGCGGAACCCAGGGCGATTATTGCCCACCCTCCAGCCCAACACCTACCCCGCATCCGCCGCGACGGCAGAACAGCCACGGCGGCTCCATCAAAGCCCGCCCTCGCCCATGTCGGTCTTCCAGACCCCGTACACGGCCCCTCTTCCTTTTCCGTCAGTTGAAGACCTTGCCTAAACCGCAAGCCGGGATGGCCGCAAATGTCCCTTCCCACACATCTGCCCTCCACGCAAGGGGTCCTCGCGCTCGCCCGACCAGTGGCCTCGGCGTTTGAGCGTCGGCACGCGGGTCAGATGTGATCCCTCTCGTTCCCTTCCGGCCGCCCGCTGCGGGCTTGCGCCCCTCCCTGAGGCTGTGCGCAGTCTTCCGCAGACACACGACTCAGCGTGGCTCCCTTGAACCGCCTCGCAAAACACCTACACTCGTCCGACCTTTGACTATGGGGCGTAAAGGCGCTGCGGCTGATGGGTCGGGGGGTGGGGGAGCGGTCCGAAGCAACGAGCCGGTGCCTCGCCGGCGCCGCTGGACAGCGCGGGGGGGGCGCGCCGAAAGGTTCAGGCTAGCGACGGGCGTGGCACAGCGCTTCGAACTTTGGCGGCCGTGAAGATGGGTTAAATGCATGGGCGAGTCCTTCTGCGTAAATGAGTACTTTTGCAATTGAACGTTATCTCACAACGTTGAGATTTTAGCGGATCTTTTTTTCAAAACGGGGAGCCGACGGCTGCTTTCTTGCCTTGGAATCAGTGTTCTTTGAATGGGCAAAACGTGAGAATTATTATCTGGAGAAGGGACTACGGATTTGTGTAGCGATTGCGGGGCGGTGCTGTAGTCTAGCATTGCATCGAATACTCGATAGACCTTACCTTCCTGGAGGGCATTCTCAAAAGGTATAATTAGGTTCGTAAGAATTACCGTCCTAAAGTGGATTATTTGTGTTATTACTGACTCGTCCTTCTGCATTAATTGATTAAATCGCCGATTTTTTTCTCCTGTCAAACAGGTGGCTCATGACTGCATAGTCGCTTTGATGTGTGATGGTTTTCATTGGTTTATCCATTAATGATGA